GCGCCCTCTTCGCGTGGCATGTTTTAGGCAAAGTTTCAACACCGAATATAGAGATGGAGGTCACTGCACTAGTTGGTTAACTACGGGTCTTAGGACTACAGTAATTTCAGCTTTGATAAGGTGTGGCTGGGTCCCGTCGAATAAGCCGCTACCGAAGCGTTAACCTCATTCGTTTGTACTCGCTGCAAAATAATAGCCGGGAATATCTCAGGCCATTCAAGGAACACTACCGAAGTCGTTTTTTCTTCCTCGTGCTACCTTCGATCAGGCACCATCGCTTACCCGAAGACATAGTTCTTGCATCTTCTCTATTTGTTTGCTGGAGCTGGGTAGAGCTGTTCAAATCTCCATGCGTGGCGATTAACAATCCACGACGTTAAGACCAGCTACATTAGGCTGCTGCATCAAGTACAAATATGTCCATATTTGGAGAGGATGGGGCTGCAAAAATAACTTTTTAACATGACCTCGATTGCAGTATCATGCATGCGAGATTCAAGACCTTTTTTCTTTGAGACATAGTTTTCGTAGAGTTAGAAGCAAGTTTGTGCGTTCCAGGCTTTAATAGAGCCTAAACAGAATTCAGTAAATCTGCCTACAATCTGTGAAAACAGTACGCCTTAAGTCCCTGCTTTTAATCTTCGCCCGTCCTCTTGGGTTAACTTTTCCATTCCACAGAATATTGCAGTGTGTTCTAACCCTGCCCCCCTATGGTGTCCTTTTAAGGGTGCACTGTCTTCCGAATGGAACCCAATTTTTGAAATACCCAGAGCTGGAAGGCTATCGTATGGCCCCACACTGACAGGGAACCTAGAGAGATAAGTTGCGTGTTTGACTTCCAGGTAAATAAAAAGAAAGCCATCGTCAGAGCTGAAAGCAGCAACACAACAAGGGACAGTCAAACACCGGTGACGTCTGTCCAGAGGTAACTGCCCAGGGCTCTGTATGCCGGTGACAGCTCGATTGAGTGAGGTTTGATTAGAGGTCCAGGCCTTTATCTCAGATGGTGGACTTCATTTAGAGTTCGGAAGCTCGGACGAGTAAAGTCCTAATTTCGGTGAGCAAAGAGTCTTCCTAACCGGTAGAATATCTGCTGTGCCGTCTTAGCTATTTCAACCTTGCCTTTTACCGGTCTTCTGATGTAGCTGGCATTCGTTCTTTTTGCAGGCTGGACCGAACTTCATGTTCCCACAAACTCAGCTGTCCCGTGCGGCCAACACGACCCCAGCTGCTGCTGCTACCAACGGTGTTTGCTAT